GGGAGGGGAATGGGGGTGGGGGGCTTGTGGCGAAGGGAGAGGGGTCCCCCACCCTGGTCCTCCTGCTTTGAAAGCTGAGAGCGGAAGGCAGTGGAGGAGGAGGACTACAACTGAGCCCGGCCCCTCAAGCCAAGGGTTCTAGACCTCCGGGGCTCAAGTTAGGGTCCCTCTGCTGTAGGGAGCCCCTGGTTCAGGACCAAAGGCCTGCAGCCTCCTGGAAGCAGGCAGGACACTCTGGGGCCCCTCCACTCCTGCCTGGGAGCCCACAGGCTCCGAGTTGGATGGGTCTCCTCACAATCCCGCCCTCCCCACAGAGGGCTAGGGGTCCGCCGGCCAGCTCCCTCCCCCACCCTCCATCCCCCCAGGCTCAGTCTCCATGGTAACAGCCACGCAGACAAGGAGGCGTCTGTCAGCGTCATTTATCTCTGACATCATCAATCACCGGTCACCACGGCAACACTCATGATTCAACACAAGAGGGTCTCCCTGTCCAGCCACCCCCCCACGCCCTCCTTCCTTCCCTCAGCCTCAGCTGTGCCCAACTTGGAAACCCCCATTCCTCTGGGACTGCGGAGGTACCAGCCCTCTCTTCCAACTCTGGGGCCCAACCAGACATTGTCCAACCAGACAATGGCTTTTGGATCACTGAGCACCCCCCTCCCGTCACCGAGAGTTCAGGCTCCTCCCCCAATACAAGGCAGGCTCAGAAGGGACTTGGGTACCCCCAGTGCCCGCTCTGAGGAGACACACACATGTAGATTCCCTCCTCTGTTGCCTCACACTGCGACAGGACACGGAGCTCGCAGGCCAGGGTGCGTGCACCCCCGACAAGCGCCAACACCCTGCACCCCTTGCTGTGGGCATCCCCTCGGGCTCCCCTGCCCTGGCACTCACACTCCTTGGACATGCCCACTTCGAAGCACTTCTGCAGCCGGCAGTACTGGCAGCGGTTCCGGGTCACCTTGTTGATGATGCAGTTCTTGTCTCGGTGACATGTGTACACCATGTTCTTCTGGATGCTGCGGCGGAAGAAGCCCTGGGGACGGAGGAACGGGCGTTGGTCAGCCACTCCCAGGCGGGGAGCAGAGCCCAGCCTCAACCTGGGGCTGGGCAGGGTCCGGCCAGCCACTGCCCATCACAGACCAGGGCAGGCTGGGCAGAGCGGTTGGCCTACAAGGACACTCCCCCCACGAGAATCCCAGGACCTGAGCCTCAAGGTCTCAGGGTAAATGGGGGACTTCCCCACATTCCTAGTCTCCTCCCCTGTGGAGCAGGGGGAAAGACACTGCAAGGGAGCAGGGCAGAGACCTGGAACCTTCGGCCTGGCTCCAAACCCAGGCAAGCAGCAAAGAGCCAAGGAAGGAGACAGGTGGGCCCCAGAGAGACACTGATCCACACACGTGTGCACACTCGACCCAGGTGGCAGGTACACAGCTAACCGGACAGACCAGTCAGAGGCAGACTGGGCGGGCCGGAGCTCCACACAGAATAAGCACACCGAGACAGACCCAGACCAAGCCTGAACCGCTCAGGAGGGCAAGCCGCACACCAGCTGAGGTCTCACTCACACCTGAGGAGAGCCAGGCCAGAAACACACACGCGCGGGGGCTCAGGCCCTGGGGAGAGGGAACGAAGCCGGGCCTGGGGCTGCTGGGAGGGGGGCAGCCACCTTGGTGTCCGGGAGCCTAACATGGGGGTGGGGAAAACCCTGGGGAGCCCACAGCCTGGGCACCTGATGGGGAAGCCAGGGCAGGGCGCCTGCCACTGTCTCTTGCCAGGCTGCCATGGCAAGGTTCGGGCAGAGCCGCCGGGGGCAGGCCTCCTGGGTCCTCAGCCAAGAGCCAGGCAACAGCCAGCTCACCATGGCAACCTGGGCAGCGGTGGCAGTGGCAGCGGGCACACGCCATGCCAGCTGGAGGATGGAGATGGGGAGGATGGAGATGGGGAGCGGAGCTCAGATAGGGTGGTGGAGACCTCTGGCTGGGGGGGGACCCCAGCTCATCTCTGAGGGGGGCTTCCGCAGGCAGCTCTCTCCTTCCCAGCACAGTGGCTTCAGGGACTTCTCCCGAGAAGTGAGAGTGGACATATCTTCGGGATCGGATGGCGCTGTCCTTGCCCGTGCACTCACCTTGCAGCCCTCGCAGGCGCTGACCCCATAGTGGTAGCCGGAGGACTTGTCTTGACAAACAAAGCAAGGCTTGTAGATGCGGGGCAGAGGGGGCGGCGAGGGCGGGCTAGGCACTATGTCTTCAGAGCTGCTGCTCTGGGTCTCGATGGCTGGAGAGGAAGCAAGGGGGAGGCGGTGGTTAGAGGCCCAGTCACCACAGTCCTAAGAGCCTCAGGCTCCATCCCAGGCAGGGCACTAGCTCCAGGCCAGGAACAAGGCAAGGCCTCAGGAGGAGCTGGGAGTTCCCGGCCAGAACTCAGGATGCTGAGGAAGCTTCCAGCACTGGCCTCTCCGGTCTACCCCCTCCACGGCTGCCTTCAGAATCAGAAAACCTGGATTCCAGATCGGATCCACGCCACTGTACACCGTGGGGCTGGGAGTGGGCCGGTTCTAAAGCCAGGGTGGACAGCCAGCAAGCTTCCCCCCTGAGGGACGAAGGAGTTCAGATGAAGAGGGAGGGAGGGAAGAGGACCAGAGCTGGGGGCAGAGGAAACTGGGGTCAACAGGATATTCAGAGCCGGCCACTCCCCCACCCCTTGGCTTCCGCTGCTCCCCCCACCCCACCCCCTATTAGCAGCCACAGCCCCTCCTCCACCCAAAAAGTCCCCTGGCCAGGGACCCAAGGCAGGCAAGAGAGGCAGGATCTGGCCTCTCAGTCAGGGCTGGGGCAGAGCAGGGGACCCCCTGGAGACAGGGAGAGGAGTCCCCGTGGGTTTTGGCAGCCTGTCACTCTGGGTGCCCCGATCTGGGGGGAGGCAGCATGACAAAAGGGGTCTGTTCCCATCAATGCTCTGCCTGTCCCGTGTCAATACTACATCCGGTGACTCCCCCTCGCCTGCGCTCTTCAGCATCCAGAGGGCAGCCAGCAGGGTGACCCAGCCAGCAGCGGCGAATCCTCCCCAGTTCCCCGCTCCACGCCCCTCACCCAGGCAGAATGAACTGGGTGGGGCCAGCGGAAGGCTGTCTGTGCCCCAACCTTGGGCACCCAGGAGGGCTGTGTCCTGTGCCAGGTTTGAACTACAATCGAAACAATCTCAGATCCCCAAAGGGCTCCCCCCAGCAAAGTCTGTCCAGGACCAAAAGAGGCAGAGGAGGCCTCACTGAAGAGGCTGACCCTTACTGACTGGCACCCCTTCCCCCAGTTTACCTGGGTCCACCCCACCACCTAGTATAAGTGTGTCTGGCATCCAAAGGCACCCATAGCTCCTGGCCCAAGTCCCTTACAACCATGGGCAATGTGGGCAAAGTCCAGGCAGAGGGTGGAGGGTCTGCTGCATGCTGCCACCCTACCCCATGCCCCTGTAGGGCATTCCTGGCCCTTCATCAGGCCTGCTCACCACTCCCTGGTGCTCCACACTGCTGGGTGGGAGTTCCGGGGAGCCCCTCCCTATCCAAAGACCACCTTATAGCAGAGGGGTAGCCTAGGCTCACATCCCTGACAGCCCTTCTGTCCACCTGGGTCCTCCGTTTGCGAGGCCAGAGCGGCCAGATCAGCCCAACAGGAAGGCCTGAGAACAGCTGCTTGGGGTGGGGGGAGAGCAGAGAGCCTGGGTGAAGCCAAGGGGCAGAGTGGGGAGCCACAAAGGAACCCTCTGTTGTCCTAACTTTTTCCAAGACGTGAAAGTGGTAACAATAGACAATCCAGACTGGTGGGGGTGTATCAAGGCCGGGGGTGTGGCATGGCCTAGAAATCCTGGTCAGCATTCCACCCCGCAGAGGCGGCACTGACCCCAACCCGGGCCACCCTTTGCCCCGCTGCCATG